GAATACCACTGGCCTTTATTTCAGGTGACCAAAGGACCAATTAAATCAGAGTCTGTGCTGCAATGCCCAGGAATTTTCCTCCAAAATGAAGAAACAAGGTTTTTGAATATATTTCTGGGCCAGATCCTCAGTGTTTTCTGGAGATATCAGTCAAATCATTGCCTCCAGTGCAGACCTCCTTCCCTCTCTCCTGCAGGGCCTGGCCCCTGCCTCACCAGCACAGAAGAACTTTTTAAGTTGTGAGAGAAGGAAATTTTTAGAGAGCTCTGTTCCTCCCCATGTTCCCATCTCTTCAAAGCTCACAGGCAGTGAAGGCTCTCCTTTTACTTGAGCATAGGGAAGTTTGAGTGTTTAGATCAGAAAATCCAAGCTTGCTCTCTGCTGTCACTGAGAAGCTTTGAATGGCTGCATTGTGAGGCTCTAACCATAATGTCCTAGCTGGTCATTGATCTTTTCAGACACATTCTTCTAACTGGGGCATCCTTGTGGCATGATGAACAGAATAATAATTTAGGAAGAAAGCATACTAAATCATCCAAAGGCAGCTCCTTTGGTCTCCAAGATGGTTAGAGCAGGGCAGAAGTTTTCTGAGAGGAGTAGGTGAGTGAGGGATGCAGCAGCAAAACATTGTGGAGGAGAGGAAACCTGAGGGCCTAAAAATTCCTGCAGGGAGGGGGGACTGCACATGTTTGGCATCTCTGTTGGTGGTTTCTTGGACAGCAGAGAGAGACTGGTAAGGAAGTGATTTTTTTTCCTGGTGCTCAGCTTTTCAGCCTTTTCTTTCTCCCTTCTCTTCCCTGCTCCCCCTCCCCTCATGCCATAGCCCTCACTGGCTTGCAAACTGAGCAGCATTTTTCTTCCAAAGATAAAAAAGATTGAGGTCCATCTCCTTTGCATCCACCCCAGGGCCAAATCTTCTCTTCCTACTGTGCTGCAGTGGGTATAATTTCACACCTCAAAGCATGACTCTTGCTGTTTGGTGATAATTAAGTACGTTTCTCTGAAGCTTACTCTGATTTACTCATGAATTAGTACCAGTCATTCTTGTTTGCTTGGCTACACTTGTTATCCAAAAGTCACCCCAATAAAAGAGATAGCTCAATCAAATATGTATAGATTAAGTAGAATGTAAAATTTTGTTGATAAATTTTTTTTTAATTGATTTTTTTTTTTTAACTTTTGTCAGAGACTAGCATTTCAATCAGGCTAATTTTCTCCTCTAAAGTGTCAACACTCCTCTATTTTATTTTTCAGGAGCTGGGAAATGCTTTCTTTTGTTTTTCCTTCAGCCACTGGAAATTTAAAATTTTCATGGATTTCTGAAAGAAAATTTTAAGGGGAAATGTTGATACAAATGGAAAGAAATTTACTTTTTGAAATACTTCTAGGGGACCAAAGTTCTCTTAATTAGCTTTTAACATGCTGCAGCTATAAAGAGAATTTGCGACCTCTTATTTTGCAAACAGTATCGAAATTCTCCTTACACAAACTGGTTTTGATTAGATTGCCTGTTTTCATATTGATCTTTTTTATTTCTTGAAGACTCTAACACTGTCAATTCACTTCAGATAATGTGTGTATGGATACAGTAGTATTGCTGATCAGTTTTCTGATGCAAGGCTTTGCTAATGACTGTGGAAGAGATCTCTGCAAGGCAAACACTACTCCTGGGAGCCTGGGTGAGGGGAGAAATTTGAGTGTTGTGTAGATGTTGTAAGTGAGGTTATGGCTATTTTACCTGTGGCTGGAATGCTTTTTTAGTCCCATTCTTGTATTTCTGTTACAGATCCTCCATCCATTTACATACCTGAACACTTTCAATACATTCAGCACATACCTTTGACAGCCCACTCTGCATTTTAATCATCAAAACCATCTTGTGGTGTGGCCATCAGCCTTCCAGTCAAAGGCTTCAAGTGGTCGAGGATAAGAGACTACCCAGTGACACTGGAAAATGTTGGCTTTTTTCAGTGGATGCTAAATCTGACAGAAATCTGTCTCTTCCTTTTGGTGAAGATGTGGCACACATTTGGTTTCAGCTGTGTGCTGAAAATCCCCAAACCTCTTTTCACTGATGCTACTGTCTCCACCAATGCCAGCCAACAAGGTTGCACGTAAACATTTAAACTTTAAACATTCTGTGGGGTTTTTTTTTAGTCCTCCACTGATTAGAACTTCCCCATATTCTTCCTCTGCTGGGTTACGATTACGACTCCTGTAAAGTCACAGCTGTGCTTGGTGGTTTTGCAGCATGAGTAAAGGCAGGATTCAGAGGTGATATTGCTGCTCTGTATTTCTCTCTGTCAAAAGTTATGGATGCATATCAACAGTGTGAATGGCACAGTAAGAGACCTGCTTGCACCCGAAATACATTGCTGTTTATTGTCTCCTTCCCCATTTCTATCTCCTGCATACCATTTCTTAGGAAGCTCCTCCTCATAATTCCTTCAAGATTTAATTTTGTTTGAGGTAAACAGATATTAATGTCATTTCCACTCCTGTAGACTCATTTTTGTTCACGATCCGTGAAACTTGCATTTGCTCTTCTCTAATAATTCAGCAATCCTTTTGTTCGTCCCAATACTTTTTTACTTGTGCCTGATGCTTCCCTGTATCTCTCCCGACATAAATTGTCATTTTCACCTCCTGACATTGGGAAAACTTTCCTGGCACAGGTAGAAATAGTTAGGAGAGGATGCAAAGTAAGAGGAAGGTTTCAGTTTTCCAGCACTCTCCTTGCCCAGTGTGTGCAGACCTGATGCACTTTGTTCTCCACAGTGTGTTAGGGTGTCCATTATCAACAATGGAAGCTTGTTAACACAGTAGCACGGAGACTGTCCATTATTCCTCCTGCTCCTTTTTAAAGAGGCCATTAAAATAGAGGCAAGCTCCTTTCCCTACAGGTTGAATTTTGAACAAATTTAATTTCTATTTGTTAGGGAAACTTGTGCTGCTGGGGAGAAAAGAAAAAAAAAAAAAAAAAGCCAGATTGACAGTTCTGGAATATAAAGTCCTTTATTCATCCACAACACAGGTAGAGGAAGTGGCTGTTTCACTTGTCTTGCCAATTTTTGCTCATCTCTGACCTAGAGGTATCACCTCAAGCTTGGAGTTCATTCTCCACATCTTTCTAATCATTGGGCTCTCTGCTGAGGTAGGTGCCAATTAGCACAGGTTATTTTAGTGATGTGGACAGCTGACCATTACAACGGGACGGACACCACGAGTTTTACTTTGTGCAACGACAGTTCATCATCATGGCTACGTTGGGCAAATTTGTGCTGCTGTCCTGAAAGAGTTTGTCTGGGCTTGGGTCACATTGCCAAGACATTCCAGGCATCTCAGCCCCACCAGCTCTGCTGGTTTTCACACGGGAAAGGTCTGTGTGGAGTGTGCTGACAGTGAACCAGCTACCACAACCCTGAGCTTTGCTTCTGTCCTCTTTCTGTCTGAACGTCTAAGTCACCCTAGTCAAGCCAGACAGTGAAATATCACTGTCTGCCTAGAGTCTTCTAGAAAGAAAGGAAAGACGACCAAAAATACCCAGGAGCAGCAAAAACACATTGAAACCCTCATTTCAAGTTCATGAGAGAGCTTGTTTTAAAGGATCATCCTGATGTTTCATGCTGGGGAATGGTGATGGTGGGGTTTTTTGCCATCAGGTGGAGAGTTACTGCCTGAAAAACCAGGTGCTGTTAGTCTCCAGAAACCCAGCTGACAGGGAAGAATATCAGGGTGTTGGGCAGGAATGAATGAACTTGAGGTGATCCCTGGTTGGACATATTCACTGTTTTTACATCTGAGCTGAAGTTAATGCATACAGAAGAATCTGCTGTGATTACAGATGTGCCCTGCATTGCTTGTTTGCACAGCAAGAGGCCAAGCAGTCCAAGGAGGCTTTGAAATGTGCTTCTAAGAAAGCAAAGAAGGGGGTGGAGGAGGCTGGCACTCTTGGGCAGTGTTACTGACATGCACACAGGGTTGCTCAGTCAAAGGAATTTGCAGGCAAAAGCTCCTCTTTGAGCCTGGTGGGCAGTGGAAGCCCCACCTTGTTTGAAAACTTTAAAACATCCCAGGCTATAAATCTCATTCATTTGCATTTCTTTTCAGAGGATGAGGTGGAGCGTGGAGGATAGCAGTATTGATGAGGATTAAACTAGCAAATGGGATGAGGTTGTGGAATACCTAGTGCTAAGCCAAAGTGCTCTGCTTCTGATACATGTACCAAGTGAGAGGAGGAGGCTGCATGTGGCATGGTTCAGTTCATACTGGATTGTTCAATTTTTTTCATAAAGATGGAGAGAAATTGAATCACCCTCGAGAATATGAAGTATTTTCCTTTTTTCTTAATGAAATATACATAGGTAATATATTACAAGTTTCTGTTTCTTAAAATTATTTTTGGTTGCAGAGGTGTTGTATCATGGTTTTGTGTGTGGTTTTGGCTATTTTTTTTTCTTTTTTTTTTTTTTTTTTTTTAAGTTTAAAAGCCCCACCTCTTGATTTTGGAAGTTTCCCAACCTTTTGTCTGTTTTTATCAGCCACATACATGACATGGTGATGTAAAGTGGACTCATGAAGCGTGGTTTGTCAATCTGACAAGTGTTAGAGACATTGTTTTATTTAAGCTGATTTATTTAGGTTTTTTGTTTTGTTTTTGTTTTTTTAACTGCTTATCAAAAACAACACCAAAAATATCAGACCAACCTTAAAGGAGAGAATTGAAATGGAGTTGTTTGTCTGAATGAAAACAAGCAGGAAAATGTCCTTGAGAACAAGATGCATTGTTCTCCTGCTTGGAGAAGGCAAGAGATACTTGGTCTGAAGCACTGGGGAGAGAAATACGTGTGGAGGAGCACACATCTTGATAGCTCCATCCTCTCTCCTTCCCTAGAGTTCCTTCCAAATGGAACAAAGTTGCCTCCCACTCTGTCTGGTGTAAGAACGATGCATGTGATGATAGAACACAAATTGGGTGAAGTCTCCTTGAGCCAGGGGAGAGATTCCCCACCAAGTTACCAACATATACTCCAGGCTTTGAATGAACCTTCAGAACACAGCTGCAGCCATCATGGAAATCTGGTGAGTCTCCAAGATATATAAATATAGATACAGATACACAAATATATAGATATATGGATATACATAGAGAGAGGCACAGGAAAGGAGGGAGGGAGAGATGCTGCATAGCAAGACCCTGACAGTCGCCTTTATGCCTGTTGCAAGGTATCAGGAAGAAAAGATTCTCAGCATATTAAAAACAAGCAATGTAGAGATCTTCCTGCCTTCCATTCTTCATTCAAACTTGATGTGCAACCTTTCCAACATCAGCCTTAAGGCGGGAGATTTTGTGTCAGCAGATTTCATCCAAAGCAAGGAGTTCTGAAACCATGCATTCATGAACTGAATTCTCTTTTCTCCTCATCCCCTGGTTCATTTTTTTTTTTTTTTTCCCCTGCTAAAATATCTTGCTGTACAAAGACTTTTCTTTTTGGCAGCCACTGGAATCACTTTGTTATGAAGCATCCAGATTTTATCAGACAATTAGCAAGCCAGCTCAGTGTTTGTGTGTGTGCATGTGCGCGTCTGTTTGCATGTGTCCGTGTGGTAATTGATATTCATGATGTATGGCTGGCTGGCTGGAATATCTCACTACCCACACAAAATGATTGCTGGTGAGAAGGCCTTTTCCAGCTCAGTATTAGCATGCTTCATCTGAAATTTGCTTTGCTGACAGGCCTTTTGCTCCTGATTGTGCGCTCCTGATGCAAAATGCATCATTGTGCCTAATTTCAAGCATACCAGTTCTGTAATAATCTCCCGAGGAGATATTAAGTTATATCTATTTGTGCTGTCTTGGGTGATCATGCAAGTTGCTAGCGTGACAGCAGCAACAAGACCTGGATACAGAACAAACAAAGGAAGGGCCTGCCAAAGCCACAGACGTGTGCTCCAGTTGTGGTGGTAATATATGAGGTATGCAAGATGTCTTTTTAGGAATGTTGGGTTCTCAGCCTCTGCAGGTTAAATATTCCCCTCTGCCTCACATCAGCTGAATTGATGGTTTTGCCACCCAGCAGCCCCAGGAAGATAATAACTGTCAGTCACCAGCAATCTGCACTGCATTTACAGTAACAAACAGGGTGCCAGTTTGGGGACAAGATGATATTTGTACAAATAAGTGACCACATATTGTTGCAATAGTTGTTGCCCCTTTATACATATATGTGTGTCCAGAACACGTGGGACAAGTGAGTGTTAAACACACACCATTCAGAGCTGGGTCTGGGCTTTAACAAAGGCATTGTAGCAAAGTAATTTCTATACCTGCCTTGATGAAGAATGCAACATGGATGTGGAATCCCTGTGAAGAAATACATTATGAGATTTCTTTTTTGCTGGTTCAGCCCTATTAATCTGTTCAGCATGAGCTCAAGTATTTTAATAACAGGCATGGAATATTATGCCTGCTATGAAATGGCTTTTTTTTTTAAGCACAACTTGGGCTGTGTTTGTGTTAACCTAGTTGGGGGAAAAAAAAACAGGTTTTAAGCTTATCCTCCTTTTCTTTCACTAATCACAGCTACAGGGCAAAACATACCAAGGCTCTAATAGGAGAAATAGCATTATCATATGCTAATTTATAGTAATGTTAAGAATAGCACGAAAAAAAAGCCTTTGAATGTATGTACATGTTGAAATTCATACTTGTGAATAGACCTGTGGCATGGCTGGTTGGCCTTTTGGGGACAGAATTTGTGTTCCTGAGTAAACTGCATTTTGGGAATTGGTGCTCATATAAGAGTTCTTACTCGGAAACTGATTTTTTTTTTTTTTCTGGTTTTGCCTGTGTTTATTTCCTGCTGAATATTACTGAAGGAAAAGGTACTCAGTCTGCAGCCAAAGACTATCTGCTCTCTATGATCAAGAACAACCTCTCCATCTCTTACAGGAATAGACACTGACAGCTACCAAAAGAATATCTGTCTGTTCCTCTTCCTCTGGAAACTGCAGGCTGCACTAGAGAAGTCCAAGGGTGAGAGAAACTACAAATGGAGAAGGGAAAGGACATCTGAGAGTCTTCACTAAATAATCAGAAGACTGATGGATTTCAGACAAAGACAGGAGTTATATAATGCATTCCTCCTCTGTGAGTAATCATATGCAAAGATTGACATGTTTGTGAGTGTTCCCAAAACTGATCCTGGGCTTACTGCGGCCGTTCCTGCATGAAAAAAACATCAGTCAGAGGGAAAGAGGAAAAAGAAAGAGAGGGAGGAAAAAAAAGGAAAGAAGTGTGATTGTGCTCCTAGGACAACATCCTGAATTTTTCCCTGGTGGACCCTTGCCATTACCATGGCAAAATGCCTGGAAACTGCCGTTCTTTTCCACAAAAAAATGTTTTGAAGGAAGAACAAAAGAAGTTTGAGCTTTTGGCAGATCATTGAAGATCACTGTGTTCAGATCCTCAGCTGGTGTAAATCAAGATAACTGCAGTATTGCTACAGTAGTTAAAAACTGACTGACTCTCCCATCTATCATGACTTGCTGCTATGGGGGAATATTTCTTTACAGCTTAAATAGAGGAAAGAATTTCTTTTACTGCATGTTGCATGTCTTCGTGTTAAGAAAATATTTTTTATCCTTAATTGCTTAAGCTCCCTTGTGTATATAAGGTGGTGGTGCCTTCTGTCATGGAGGTGTTTGCTGTGTGTGACACCTTGCTTTATTTCTTTGGTTTGCTAGTTGAATGACATGTTAATCTGCTGTGAAGGTGCATAATAGGATCAATGGGAATCAGGAAGTATGTTTTAAATTAAAAAGAGGTCCTTTCTTTGTCTGATTCATGTTTCTGTATTATATCACAGCATGTGTGGCCAAAGAGTATTCCCACTAGGCCAGGATAACCTGACGCCGGTCAATAATTAAATAATAATCTGTAAAATTGAAAGGCTTTATGTTTCAGAGTGAAAGGATGTTCTTGCAGCTAATGGTAATCAACAGGCAAGCACCCTGAGACCTCCATACATGCAAATACCTCATGATCATTCAGCTACAAGGGTTTGTAAATCAATTTTTACAGTTGCAGAAGGATGAGGTCTATATACACTCCTTTGCTTATGGATCAAGGTGCAGTGCATCTGACTAGGCTGCAGCACTGAGTTGTTTGGGTTTTTTTTTTCTCTTCTACATCGAGAAAAATGTCTTGGGGAAATAAAACTCATCTGAGCTATGTCAGGAATTGCATATGACCACAAGAATTAGATAAGCCTAGAAAATTCCATTATCTGCTCATACCACTCATTATTTGACAGCCCAGTCTGGATTTGTGATGTTGTTGAGGTTTGACCACTGAAGCAGGAGAGGCAGGAATATACCTCCACTTGCCTGTGTGGTGGGACTGAGTGGCTGAATCAGCAGCAGTGCTCCACCTTCAAGTGATCAGGAGTGGAAGGGCAGTCTCAGAGATAGACCCCACATTCCCTGACATCCCAAATCCACTCAGCCCTGCCCACCCCTTGCTGTGCAAAGGCACAAGGCTTTCCATATCATGGAACACTGCAGCCAAATTTACTCTAAAGGCGTTCTGGAAGACAGGCTTCCATTATGTTGAGGAACGTTACTCCTGATCTGCAGCCCAAGTGCTGTATCCTGTTTATACATGTATTCACTTGTCTGTCTTCTCTTGATAAAGGGTATTATTTCAGGATCATCTAGCAGCTGATTTGATTAGCTGTGTTATCTTCCAGAGCGCTCTAATGCTGCTCTGTCCCCAGACCAAGGGAATGTGAGGTTGCCAAGGTAAGAATCATAGGTAGCAAATAAAATACCACTGAGACTGGAAGAATTGGACTCAGGTAAGGAATAGCAGCCCTCTGAACTTCCACTTTTCCCCAGGACTGTCCCAGATATGGCACTGTGCTGATGAAAGGAGATAAGGTGGGTCCATCAGCTAATCCAGGAAGGAGATCTTCTCCCTGAGGAAGCCACAGCTCTGCCTTCAGCTGGCAGTGGGCACTGACTGGTCCAGTGCTCACCCAAAGGTCACCTCTGTGATGAGCACCATTGTGAGGAGCACTGTGTGGGCTCTTTTAAACCCCTTGTGCTGATAGAAAATGCCAAGCCTGGGAGAAATCTCCCCCAACTTGTTGTTTTAATACATATGGAATTAATTTTTTTTAACAAATGTTGCATATTCTTGATTAAATATAGGTTTCAAAATATCATTGCTCCTGCACTCTTTCTTTTATTCCTGTGTCTGGTCTCAGAAAAATCTTTTTTTTTTCCTGTGTCTGGTCTCACTGCAAAAATAAGTAGAACATGTGACTATTTATGGGGAGATTTGAATTTTCTTTTTGAATCCACCTATTTGCTTCTCTGTTACTGAGGAATATCACACCATTTCTTTCTGCCTTGATTTACTTTTGCAAAACAATAGTTAGTAAAATATTTCAACCTTTTTAGGCGGCTGCTCCATTAATGCTCCCAGCTGCCCTTGGACATCTAAAAAATGGGGAGAAAACTCACTGAATGAGAGATTTCTGATCAGGAAATTCAGGAAACTGTGAGTTCACTGGGGCAAAGGCTCTGGTAAGCAGTACAATACTAACAGGGCTGAAACCCTTTTGAGTGTGTGGCTGGGAGAAACCTTGCACAACATGCACCTGGCTGAACTCCTTTATGGCTGGAATCATTGAGAGATTAATAGGAATGGATTTGCACAATGCTATGGATTGCTACACCTCTTCTGGGGTACCAAGCCTGTTTGTGCTGTTTCCCACCATTCTCCTTTTGGCTCTGAGCCTGTCCTTTAAACACCCAGAACCTGCCTGTGGGTGAAGCCTCCTTCCTCACTGAATCCACCCATGACCTTCTCATGAGGTCAACTCCTTCTAAGGTTCTGCCCACCAGCATTTTGTAGTCATTTTTCTTCCATGCTTTCCACAATCTTCCCTCCTTAGTGTTTTCAGTCAGGCCCAAGGAGAAAGAAACTTCAATATCATTTTTATCTGCCATCCCTGAAAACTTCTTTCCTTGTCTAGTGCTTAGTCACAGACTGGGTGGGGTTGGAAGGGGCCTCTGAAGATCACCCAGTCCAACCCTTGCCAAAGCAAGGACACCTGGAGCAGGTGACGTGGGACCACACCCAGGTGGCTTTGAGGTGCTTCCAGAAGTCTCCACACCCTCATGGGGCAGCTGTTCCAGTGCTTTGCCACCCCCAATGGGAAGAAGTTCTTCCTGGTGTTGAGTTCTTGTTGTGTTTAATTTGTGGCCACTGCTCCTTGTCTCTGGGCACCACTGAAAGAGTCTGGAACCATTCTCTTGGCACCTGCATGATTTTTGTATGTGTTAATGAGATTCCCCCTCAGTCCCCCCTGTGCCCAGACCAACCATTCCCAGCTCTTGCAGTCTCTCCTCACAGGAGAAATGCTCCAGACCCCTCCTCATCTTCGTGGCCCTTAATGACAGCACTAAGCCTTTCCAGCAGACCTTGGTCTGCATGTTTACAGCTGGTGTGTGCCACACACCCTTCTCTCCCATGGACTGAATTCTCCTGCATGTGCATGCCAATTCTGCTCTGCCTGCTGCATCCAGCACGTGGCAACCTTGGAGCACCACAATCCTGTGAATGCTGCTTTTGATCACCCTGCTTCTGAGCTGTGCCTTTGGTCCTTCACTGAGGCTTCCTGTAGTCTGATCCTGTCCAGATTCTGCTTGCTCTCAGAACAGAGAGCCTTTGAGGATGGATGTCACTGATAACCAGAATGGGTCTGGTGTATGTTCACTTCTGAGGACCCTGGAGAAGAAAATTAGCCCAGGAACGTGGTGTAAGTCAGGCTGAGTTATCTTTGCAAGGCATCTAACCTACTGACAAATGGACATCTCTGCTGTCTCCAGAGCACTGGGGCTTTCTGAGGGCCAAGCTGCTCTGTGAGAGCCCTCACTAATAATAAATGCCTGCCCCCTCCAGCATGGACTAACTGCACCTCTGTCTATGCTAGTGACGTCCAGCATCACCCAGCTCCTGTTGAAGCCAGGAACAACACCTTCCTCAGTCCAGGACCACAAGCTGTAACCTCGTCTGGGGATTTTCCTGTGGCTTGAACGCTGTCCTCATTTTAAGCGGACTCTTGATCTTCCAGGGAGAGAGCTGCAATGAGCTGTGAGAGCTGAGGAGACGAGTGGTGGAGCAGAACAAGTGTGCTAGAGGGGTTTTTGGTGTTTCTTTCAGGTTAATGCAATCACTAAAGATAAAACCTCTCCAACAGAAATATAATACAGCTTCCCTTTCTTTAACTCCACATTAAGAGTGGTTCTTACACACACATAATAGATACTAGAAAAATATGGGAGATGAGACTGCACAAGCTTTCAATAACGGCTGCAGAAAACAGTAAGTTATCGTCTCAATCAAGAGGTCTTGAAAATGTAATAAGGGAGCTAGCATTTCAAGAGGACAGTTATGTTTGTCTCTGTCCTCACCAATCACTTCCTTCCTCCTTTCTGTACACAGGGCCTCCACAAATGCCTCTGAACATAATTTATTGCTTTCTGTCTGCTTAAATAACTTGTAAAGAGGGATTCCATTGTGGTAAAAGAGTTGTAGTTGGGTTTGAGGGATCTGGCATAATTTTCAGATCCATGATATTCCCAAGCTGTGTCTTCCTGTTCAAACACAGTGGTGGGTGGCAGAAAGTACACTACCTTGCCTTCCAGATGACTGTAATAATTTTAAGATGGATACCACCTGGCTGATTTTCTGGATATGAGGAACTATCAGCATGTTTTGAGTGAGCACACATTTATGTGGCCACACTTCCCTGCATTTCTGAGCTGGATTGTTCAAAGCTATCTGTATGCGTGATGCTCTGCCATGAGCTTACACCCTTCCTGTCTGAAAGCATCTCCTCCCAACCCACATACAATAGCAGTGGCATGACTGTTTTTCCAACCTCTGTCTCTTTTACTTATTTTCATTAGAACCTATTTTTTTTTTTTTTTTTTGCAGAGACTGTCTCATCTGCATTGTCTTTTTTTTCAGTCCATCTCTCAGAAATGTCTTGCACGAGGAGTGGAGGATGAATAAGATAGTTCTGACTTAAAGAAAAAAAAAAAGAAGCGTATCTGTGTTTTTCTGCCAGTTGATGCAGCTATTACTTTGAAAGCTGATTGTGAGGAGAAGAAAGGTCTGTGATAAAAAGTCAACAAGCAGTGGACACTGAAGAGGTGACATTCTCTTTTGGAGTGAACTACTTCGTGTGGCACACACCGGAGCGGGTAAACACCCAACAGTCAGACAATGATACTGCGTTTTTAGAAAGGGAGTTGGGCTTTTTGACCCCTCCTAGCACAAAGCAGGTCTATGATCATGTGTAACCATGGCAGACAAGCCATTTCAGCCCCCCACAAATGGGTCGAGGGAGCTCCTTGAATGCTCCTTTCCCTTGGCACATCTGTAAGAGGATGGTGTCTTTTCCCGCTGACGCTGAATCAACTCAGCTTTGATGTGAGAGAATATGAGCAATTCTTCTCTCCCAATATCTTTTCTGTGACTCTTAGATAGTGGGAAACACTGCCATAATTTACCTATGCATCCCCTTTCTATCTTATTTGTGCCCCATAAAACAAAGCCTCAGAAAGGATGAACAGTTGTCAGTTCTTTGCCTGTGCTGCCACTTTGCAAACCCTAAATAATAGTGAGATTATGGCATGCTATAAAAGTACCTTGAGATAAACCTGTCTAAGTGCAGGGCTGATATTTGCTTTTGGATTAGATTTTAGTATGATCTCTTTCTTCTTTCTCTCGCTCTCTTTTTTTTTTTTTTTTAAAATAGCTCTTGT